GGTGGGGGTGGCAGTTGCGGTGGCGGTGGTAGCGGCGGCGGCGGTGGCGGTGGCGGTGGCGGTGGCGGTGGCGGTGGCGGTGGGTGATGGTAGCTGCTATTGCTGCTGGTGCTTGGAACACTTGCGCAAAGGCCTAAGAAGTTGAGAAAATGTGTCAGAATCAAAAACCAAATATCAACTAAAAAGGTATAAAAAAGACAGGGCCGTATCACCGCCTCCAAACGGCTCTATAAGCTGTTTGTAGCGTTACTGTTTGCCAAGCCCTGCATGGGTGTTGAAATATCAAACGAGTCGTGAGTAGTACTAGTACCAATAAGTTTACCAGTCTTGTGCTTAAGTACTGACGCTGAGTTGACTGGTAGGCTAGCACATAGTCTAGCTCTTGGACTGAAATTCTTACGTGCATCATCGGGGACACTACTACTCATCATACTACATTACATTGGTATGATACTCAGTATTGCACTACTTGCGAGTGGCTAGACTGTGTAGAAGCCGGTGGACAAGTTCCTCGAGCCACTGCCCAGTAGCATCTTATAAGTTACAATCGTACCGTCTCTCAATCCGTTGGCTCAACTGTCGCCAGTGCCATTAGCTACGCATCATCCGTTGAAGACGGCACAAATAGCCACACCTGTAGGCTTCTTTAGTACGACATCAAAGCATGTCTTGGCATGTGGGTATCTCGCATGCAAGCAAGAATTCCTAGGCTGACATGATGGTATTGCATGTCTCGGTGTAGCTCAGAACCTCTGTTCAAGCCCCAATCCGACCCTCTGTTGCCGCCGCTGGCTAGCTAGTGATGCAATTCTGCACCTCTGCTACGAAGTGCACTCAGTTGCCATTGCCTGTGACTACGACATCTAGGGGAAATCATCATGTTGTGATAGGGCCAGCATCCTTTGAAGCAATGCAGCCATGTGACGAACTGGAAGAAGTAAGAGAAAACGAAGCCTATCAATATCACCTCAAGCATGCTGCAGCACAAAGATGCTATTGGCTTGCAGCAGTGAATTGAAGCAAAGACATGCCATGCCCCCTCTCTGCTGTGGAGACACGCCCACCGATGAGGGCAGCCCAGCACAGACAAAGACTGTCCGGACCAAGTAGCCGACCTCATGCTGCACTTTTGCTCTGCTTTTGATTAAGCCAGCAAGTCCAGCAAAAAGAAGCTGAAAAGTGGTATTCTCCACACAGTTTTCTTGACACCTAACAAAACCCGGCATGTCTAGCGCGACATGCACCGAGCTGCCAGGAAGAGGTACGCAAGGCCTCGCAATAACATCTCACCTGTATTTGACGTGCTAGTTTCAGGCAGCGTCCCCACCTAGCTGAAGCGGATAGAAGGCGGCTGTTGAGTCGGAGGTGGAAGCCGCAGCGCCAGCGTCCGGCGCAAGCACCTGAGTACACAAAAGCTTTTCTTATGTTGGCTTCATCTCCTCACAACTTGCTGGGGCCCGTGCATAGTCTTGGTGCCTGACCACCATATCATGGGCCAGGCATCACGGGTTCGGTATCGAGATCCATGAAGCTGGAGCCAAATTGTTCCAGGACTCCAGGATGGATAAATTGCAACAAGGGCACCCACCAGACACCCCGAACCTGGCAGAGAAACTACAGACTTTCAGCTTACCCCCTCTGACCCTTCTTGTGCAAGAAGCCAAAGAAACCCGACCGCACTGCTGCGCCTTGATGGCAAGTCCTGCAGCAGCTCCTGGGAAAGCTTCTTCTCCTCATTTGCCTGGCTTGCAGCAGATGAGGACGGATTGCGGGTAGGGCTGAGATAGCTCATGCTGGCCTTGCTTTGGGTGTTCTCCTGGTCATTCAACAGCCGCTCGTTTTCCTGGCTACAGGCAGTCCCCTAGCATGGCCAAAAGTCGAGCGAGAGCTTCACAGCGCTGTCCTTCTTGAGCATCTCCTGCTCCTTTTCAACTGCCTTCGTCAGCTGCAGCACGTGGTCATCCAGTGCCGATGCCTGATGCATCTTTGGGACCACCCGAGAGAGCCCACAGTTGGCTTTCAGGACCTACCAGTACCGCCTGGGATGGATAGCAATACCTTTGAGCTCCGCGCCTGCACTCTCAAGCCCGCGCCTGTCCTAGCGTGCGCAGCCTCGGGGCACAGATCGGATGCTTGAGCCCTATGTTTGCCTAGCAGCAACTGAAGCCGTGCTTCTGTTACACCGTTACGATGCTGTTACAGGGCCTCTGAGTCGCAGAAGCTGATGCGCATGATATGCTCTTCAACTCTCACCGGCACTACGAGTAATGTCGCATTCCGATTAGTAAATGGGGTCGTAATAGAGCTAGGCCTGAACGGAATAATAAGAAAGGGTACGGAACAGAGCTAACCTGGGCCTGAACGATTGGACCCTAGAATCTGCCAAACAAGAATAAGATTTAAATTGCAGATA